AAATATTGTTATGAACAGTTTCTAAGATTTTACTGCCTGTGTTTTCTCTAGGATTTTTATGGTTTCAAGTCTAATATTTAAATCTTTAATCCATTTTTAATTTATTCTTATGCGTGGTGTAAGGTGATCTAGTTTTATTTTTCTGCAAGTATCTGTCCAATTTCCCCAACACCATTTATTGAATAAACTATTTTTAGGCCATTGTATGTGCTTGCTTCCTCTGTTGAATATTAATTGATTTTGAAAGTATGGGTTTATTTCTGGGTTCTCTACTCTGTTCCATTGATATGTGTCTGTCTTTATGCCAGTACCATCCTGTTTTGATTACTGTGTCCTTACGGTATAGTTTGATATTACATAACCTGATTCCTCCGACTTTGTTCTACTCAGGATCGCTGTTGCTATGTAGGACCTTTTGTGGTTCCATAAAATTTTTTGAAATATTTGTTACAGTTCTGTGAAATATGACATTGGAATCTAGCATGGACATTTTTAATGATGTTCATTTTTCCTATCCATGAACATGGTATGTGCTTACACTTATTTGTATCTTCTTCAGTTTTTTTCTTCAGTGTCTTACAGTTTTCCAAGTACAAGTCTTTACGCTGTTGGTTAGATTTATTACTAGGTATTTTATTTTTTTTGAAGCTATTGTGAATAGGATTATTTTCTTAATTTTCCTCTCTGTCAGTTCATTATTGGCATGTAAAAACACAACTGATTTCTGGATATTGATTTTTTACCCTGCTACTTTGCTGAATTCACTTATCACTTTTAGTGGTTTCTAGGTGGAATCTTTGAGGCTTTCTATGCACAGTATCATGTCATCTTAGATAATGTCAGTTTTACCTCTTCCCTTTCCAGTTTGGATACTTTTAATTGTCTGATTGCTATGGCTAGAACTTCCAGTACTATGTTGGATAAGAGAGGTGAAAGTGGAGATCCCTGTCTTGTTCCTGATCTTAAGGGGAATGCTCATAGTTTTTGCCCACTGAGTATGATGCTGGTAGTGAGTTTGTCCTGTATGGCCTTTATTATGTTGAGGTATGTCCCCTCTATTGCCACCTTGCTGAGAGTTTTTATCATAAATGGGTGCTGGATTTTATTAAATGCTTTTTCACACCTATTGATATGATCATGTGGTTTTTATCCTTCATTTTGTTTATGTGGTGAATTACACTTATCAGTTTGTGAATGTTGTACCAGCCTTGCATTCTCAGAATAAATCCCACTTGATAATGGTCTATGATCTTTTTGATGTATTTTGCTAATATTTTGTTGAAGATTTTAGCATTTATGTTTATCAGGGATATTAGCCTGTAATTTTCTTTTTTTGCAGTGTCTTTATATGGTTTTGGAATTAGGATAATGCTGGCCTTGTAAAATGAACTTGGGAGCTTTCTCTCCTTTTGAATTATTTGAAATAGTTTGAGAAGGAGAGGTGTTAGTTCTTCCCAGAATATTTGGCAAAATTTGCCTGTGGAGCCATCCAGTCCAGGGCTTTTGTTTGTTGGGAGTTTTTTTCTTTTAATTACTGCTTCAATGTCACTAGCTGTAATCTGTCTATTCAGATCTCTGATTCTTCCTGATTTAGTTTTGGAAAATTATTTGAGTCTAGAAATTCATTCATGTAGTCCAGTTTATCCAGTTTGTTGGCATGTAATTGTTCATAATATTTACTTGCATTCCTTTGTATTTCTTTGGTGTCAATTATTATTTCTCCTCTTTCATTTCTGATTTTATTTATTAGGGTCTCTCTTTTTTTTCTTGATAAGTCTGGCGAAAGGTTTGTCAATCTTGTTTATCTTATCAAAGAACCAGCTCTTGGATTTGTTGCTCTTTGTATCTTTCTTTTTTTACTCTATTTGGTTTATTTTTGCTCTAATCTTTATTATTTCTTTCCTTTTCACTTTGGGCTTTGCTTCTTCTTTTTCAAGTTCTTTTAATGTAAATTTGGATAATTTATTTGGGCTTTTTCCTGTTTTTTGTTGGTTTTCTTTTTTTTTTTTTTTTTTTTGGTGTGTGTGTGATAGACCTGTAATGCTATGAATTTCTTTCAGAGAACTGCTTTCTCTGTGCCCCAAAGATTTTGGGTTGTGTTCTCATTTTCATTTGTTTTAAGGTATCTTTTGATTTCTTCCTCAGTCTTGTTGTTGACCCATTCATTGTTTAATAACATGTTATTTAGCTTCCATGTCTTTGTGTATTTTTCAGTGTTCTTATAATTGATCACTAGTTTGATACATTGTGGACAGAGAAGATGCTTGATATGATTTCAATCTTCTTAGATTCATTGAGACTTGTTTTGTGTCCTAACATGTGGTCTATCCTAGAAAATGTTCCATGTACACTTGAAAAGTATGTATATTCTTCAGTTTTAGGTGAAATGCCATGAATATATCAATTAAATCCATTTGATCTAGTGTGTTATCTCAGGCTGCTGTCTCCTTGTTGATTTTCTGTCTGGCATAGCTATCCATGGCATCAATGGGGTAATAAATCTCCTTCTATGACTGTATATCTGATGATCTCTCCTTTTATGTCCATCAAGGTTTGCTTTACATATTTAGGTGCTCCTGTGTTGGTTGTATAAATTTTTACTAGGGTTATAGCCTTTTGTTGGATTGTTCTCTTTATCATTATGTAGTGTCCCTCTGTGTCTCTTACTATAGCCTTGGTTTTAAAGTCTATTGTTGCATATAGGTATTGCTCCCTCAACGTTTTTTTTCCTTTCCATTTGCATGAAATAATCTTTTTTAATCCCTTTACTAAAAGTCTCTGTATTTTTTGATCTGAGGTGGGTCTCTTGGACACAGATATATATGGGTCTTGTTTTCTTATCCATTCAGCTACCCTATGTCTTTTGGTTGTAGCATTTAAGCCATGCATTTAAGGTGATTATTGATAGATATGTATTTAATGCCATTTTATTTTTAAACTATTTTCCTGTTTTTCTTTTTCCTCCTCCTCTTACAGAAAGCCCTTTAACATTTGTTGCAGTACTGCTGTGGTGTTAACAGACTCCTTTAGCATTTTTCTTGCCTGGGAAGCTCTTTATTTCTCCTTCAGTTTTAAATGATAGCCTTGCAGGGTAAAATGCCTTGGTTGTATGTCCTTGTTTTTCATCATCTTGACTATTTCATGCCAATCCCAAGTCTGAAATATTTCTGTTAAGAAATCAGATGACAAGTCTAATTGAAGCTCCCTTGAAGGTAACTACCTGCTTTTTGCTTGCAGCTTTTAGGATTCTCTCCTTGTCTTTAAGCTTTGCCATTTGAATTATGATGTGTCTTGATGTAAAACTCTTTGGGTCTGTCTTTTTTGGGACTCTTTGCACTGCTTGGACTTGTATGTCTTTTCCTTCACCAGACTAGGGAAGTTTTTGGTCATTATTTCTTAAAATAGGTTCTCAATCCCTTGCTCACTCTCTTTTCCTTTTGGTATTCCCATGATGTAGATGTTGTTAAATTTCATGTTGTCCAAAATGTTTCTTAAGCTGTCCTCATTCTTTTTTATTCTTTTTCTTTTTGCTAGTCTGCTTGGGTGTTTTTTTCAACTTTTTTTTTTAAATCACTAATTTGATCCTCTGCTTCATCTAACCTACTGTTTCTTGCTTCCAGTGTATTAATTTCAACTGTTGCATTCTATATTTCTGACTAGTCCTTTTTTAAAATGTTTCTATGTCTTTTTTCATGCTGTTAAGTCTTGTAGTCATTACTCTAAACTCTACATCTGCTTAATTGCTTACCTTCTTTCATTTAGTTCTTCTGAAGGATTTTCTTGTTTCTTTTTTTCTTTTGGGGACTGTTTCTTTGTCTTCCCATTTTGGTTGCCTCTTTGTGTTTGTTTGTATATATCAGGTAGATCTGCAAAGACTGGTTCAGACCTATATCAGACATTGCCTGTGACTGGCCCTGGGCAACCTGTTCAGAGCTATCAGTGGTGCACAACTTGTCACTCCTTCTGCTGGACCTGGGTGTGTGCAGAAGGAACCAGGCTGTGTATCAAGGCTGGCTTTTACCAGCTCCAGTCCTGGGGGAGGGTTATCTAAAGTCTCAGAACTCCCAGAGATCCACCTTAGTTGTTAAACTTAAGCACTGAGATAACCTCCAGCTGTATTCCTTATCAGCCTGACTTTAGCTTCACAGGGTGGGACAGAGTAATTTCTGTGGGCAGGGCTATTGCTTCCCATCAGTCTAATGCCACTTGGAGGGGAGTGCTTTGCCTAAGAAAGATGGCCTCTGTTGTATGGGTAATTATTGAGCACAGGAACCCTGGAGGCTGTTCCTTCAGTTCTCTCCACAGAGCCTCCAGCCCCAGACTTTCCTCATGTATCTCTTGTCCACTCTGCCCACCCTTTGCCAGAGTCCAGAGTAAGGGGCTGTGTTGGTGCTTAAGAGGCTGTGTCCCCAGCCATCTCTTCCTGGCAGACAGAACCCCCATAGCTTTTCACAGCTGGATGTTATCTGGGTTCCTTTTGGCTCTGGTGCTGTAGGCTACAGAGTCCATTTTGGGATTTAGACCCCACCCTTTTCAGTGGGAACCCCCTAGCCACTGCAGGATCCCTCTGGAACATAAGCTGCTGTCCATGGTATCCCAGCCAGCTCTCTCACACCTCCTCTATACTCCCTTCCAGTCATGTTGTAGTCAAGTGGTTTCTTCTGTCTGTCCTCAGTTATAAAGCTTTTTTCCAGCTAGTATTCTTTTGGTTATGTGACTGTTATGGAGCAAACATTGTTTATGTGGACTAGAAGGGATACATACCTACTTGTGTTTACCTCAAAACATATAATGGTTATATATAGATTTTGGCTCATACTCCCAGTAGAACCAGCCAAGGGAAGAATAAGTGACTCTGTGTGAACTACTTAAAAATCTCACCTCAGCATATTTGAGAAGCATCTTGTTTGAAACATTTCTAAGCCAAATATTTATTGTAGTTATTTCCTTCTCTTTTTTCTATGTAAAATATTAATTGGCATGTTTTATTTTATTCACAGATTATTATAAGTATAGGCCTCATGTTTTATGTAGTCCATCGAGCGCAAGTGGAATTGAATGCGGCTATTGTAGGTTGTGAAATGGAACTGAAAACCTCACTTGTGAAAGGTGGTCAGCCAGATACCAGCAGCTCATCATACAGCAAGCGGACACTGACATTTTCTGGAGGTGGAATCAACGTTGTGTGACTAGTGAAGTGCAGGGTTGTCGAGAGCCTGGTGTGCTGTCCAAGGTGCAGTTTCCTCATGGGGACAGAGACAAGGACTAACTGTATTACAATACAAACAAAACTGACTAGTTTTTAAATTGCATAGCTTTTTTTTAAGGCAGATGCAATTTTGGCTGCACCCCATTATCATTTGTTATGCCCGTAAAGGCCTATTGGTCTGCACTTTAGCGTTTTTAATTATTTTTCTTTCTGGGTACTTATGAACAGAGAAATGACACAATTATTTTTCTGGTTAGTCTTTATTTATAAAGTCTCCGAATAGCTGTATGCATCTTTCTTACTTATAAAGAGTAGTAAAAGTGTGCAGTTTTAAATATACAGTACTATTGGGTGCCCTTTGGTGGTCTTTCTAGAAAGGATAAATAGATTTTGTTTTGTTTTGTTTTTTGAAAGTGGGACCAATTTGCTTCCCTGTTCATTCCTAGTTAGAGACAGACATTAACTTTGGGTTGAATGTATTTTTGCAGGCACTGTGTTGTTTCAGGGCCATTTATGCCAGTTCATACAAGCTGAAATCCTAGACATGGGACTGAAGTGCTCTTAAGAAACCTTTTATCTCCACTGTGTAATGTGCAAAGCAAGAGAAGTTAATCTTGTTGCATCACTTTACTCTCCGTAGGCTGGTCATCAAAGGGCTGTCCCACAGCAGTCTTACTCAAGCATTTCATTAAAATATACTTTTTCTTTTTATATTCATCATTAAGCTTTGAAATAAAAATGTTCTTCCAAATGAAAATGTTGAGTTTACCATCATTGAAGATGTCACTCAGGTGGCCTTATTTGATCAAAACACCTTTTTTAAAAAAATAAGCTTTAAAATTATGTTTATAACTTCACTGAAATACACATATATTTGTCCCCATTGCCTTCAGCTTTAAAACTATAAATATGATGTAAATTTAATATCCAAAATCTGTATTATTTGCCCTGCTATCAAGTAGGTGTGTTTTGTTTGTTTCAATATTTGTTTTTTTCTGACAAGACTCAGGAATTCTGAAATGTGAACCATATTTTCTAGTAGCACTTACGAGTATAGCATACAGTAATTTGTCACAGGATTCATATGGCATGTATTCATTTATCACCTAATATTTTTAATATAGTTTAATTGTGACTTTAAAGACTCAGTTTTTTGTTTTTTGTTTATAACCAAGATTATAGATATGAATGCAAATTTTCTGGAAGGTATCTTGTTTTTGTTTTGTTTTGGGGTTTTTTTTGGCAAGAAGATTCCAACTTATCAGAGACTTCCAATTTGCCTTTTCTTTAGGGTAAATTCTTTGCCCTGATTACTAAAATGCAAAAGAATTCTTTAGAAGCTGATTAGTCTAGTCTTACACTGAAGTGCATTTGGCTTTAATGTGTAAGTTTTTTTGTGCTATTGCAAGTATAATTTTTTATTTTCCTTCATAATATATATGTTTTCTTACCTTTGAGTAACAATGAGGTTCATTCTAAGTCTATACCCAGAAGACCTCAGTGCAGACCATTTGAGTCCACCATATATATTGGCCTCCAAATCTTTCTTTCTTTATTGGTAGAAAAAAAGTATAGTATTGGAATATTCTTATTCTTTTTTGAATCCTAATTGTTTAGTTTTTTTGGTTTGTTTGGTTTTTTAAATTATTTTACAATGAACAATACATTTGATTTATTCTAACTAGAAAATTTTTTCGTATGCTCCCTGTTTGTTGGTTAGTTTGTCATTAATTTAAGATCACTACTTTTATACTTCTGTTACACTTAATGTACTTTGAAGTGCATTTCTTTCTTAACATTTTGTAATTTGAATAATTTCACCAAATGAATACCTTTTGGTAGTTTGTAATCAGTCTTCCAATTGTTGCTTGGTACTTTAAATAAATACATAAAGGTAAAAAGAGAAGTAATTTTTCTGTATTCTGCCAATCATCATTTATATAATAAAATCATTTTTCCTTAAAATAGTATGGTTTTGCTGTTTCTGAAATACTAATGTGAAGTCATAGTTTTGTATCATTGTCTCCATCCTTTACTGCAGTGATGCTATTTGCTGGCAGACCAACTGCTAGTGTCAGACATGCTGTCTGATCGGGACAAAGGGGTGCCCTGTCCTGCATTCCATATTTATGGCAGCAACATGTTTTTACAGGATTTTTTTATGTTGCCTAAATATTGCCTCTGGTCATACAGTATATATTTATACAGTGTATATTTATAAAATAAAATGTTTTAGGTTTCTCAGACTGTTTAAGTGCAGATAAAGTTGCTTTATCCTGATTTTAAAAAGCATACAATATACTTAATTTCTAAATCTGATGAAAAGTACATTCTATTTTTAATTCTCTGGGCCTTTTCATAAGTTTTTCACATTTTCACATGTATTGTTACTCATTTCATTTACCTTGCCAAATGTGTTATGTAAATTATTTTTAAATAGTACCTCATTTTAAAAACATGTATATAAATTATTAAGTTCTTACATGTCTATTTTCATTTGATCATCTGATTTGTGAAATAACTTGAAATCTATCCTTTTTGGTTTGTGAAAATAATAGAACCAAATCTCTGTCACTGGAATGTGTATTTTGAATTTATGTTCAGAAGTGATGGTGGGTTTCTTCAGAGCCAGCCATAATTTTGTTTTATGCCTTTGTAACCAACTACAAACCTTTGTAAGATGACTTTCCCTAGAGAAGGTCAAGTGTGATCTCGGGGATGGACTTTTGTTTCAACCAGGCCACTCACTGTATCAGAATGATGGTCACTGTAACACACTCTGTTGTTTAGATTAGACATTTCTGATTTTTGTAAACTATTTAGGATATAATTTTTTTTAAAGGTCATCTCTAAGCTGGAAATCTCTCCCTGGAGTAATGACCTGCCCCACAGGGTATTTAAATCAGAAGTTTCAGTAACCTCACATATTGAACATAAACTGTTCCACTTGTCCCACGACTGAATTATAACTTGGTATGTCTGAATTGCAAATAGTTTGAATTGCTGCAAACTATTTTCTAAGGTGGCTAAGATTTAAAACATAACTCTAAAGATGAATGAGTAAAAGCTCTGGCTAATTGGAATTCCAGGTCACGTGTGTGCCTGAGGAAATAAAAGTTAAAAGTTTAATTTCCCTTCTCTCTTCCCTTTCTTTTCCTCTATAACTTAATCGGCAGAGAGATGTGCCCCAAGGGAGGAAGGGAGCATGTGCTTCTAGCAATGTGTGTGTTGATAGCCAGTCCTCGAAGGGTTATTATTATTGCACAGGCTCTATGGACAGATAATTCTTAACAGATGATCTTACTCTGATGTTGGCTCTCACTCTTCAGTTTGTTTTTCTAACACACTTGTCCCCCCTTATCTGTAGGGACACGTTCCAAGACCCCAGTGGATGCCTGAAACCATGGATAGTACCAAACCCTCTATGTAGCATGTCTTCTACATATACACAGCTGTGATAAATCTGAATTTATAAATTAGACACAGTAAGAGATTAACAATGACTAATAAAATAGAACAATTATAACAATACTATAATACAAGTTACATAAATGGCTTTGGGGCCATTAAGTAAAACAAGGGTGACTTGAACTTGATACCACAACAGTCCCATCTGATAACCTGACAGCTAAGTGACTACCAGGTGGGGAGCTGGACAGGGGTGATTCATGGACTGGGTGGGACTGGGTGGGAAGGCCTGAGATTTTATCACACTACTCAGAACAACACATAATTGAAAACTTATGAATTGTTTATTTCTGAATTTTCAATTTAGTATTTTTGGACCATGGTTGACTGCAGGTAACCTAAACCATGGAAAGAGAAACCATGAATAAGGGGACAAGACTGCACCCCTCTACCTGCCAGTCAAACAGTTGCTTGTCATTTCTCTTAGGCTGCTGTGGTATGTGGGGTGCCTCTTATAAATGGAAATATCACCAGTCTCATTTCCTGCTTCCATGGCTATTTCTTTGACAGCACATTCCAGCTGCCATAACCCTTTCCCAGAACAACACTCTCCTTGTTTATTTGTAGCAGATCAAACGCAACCATGTGTTCACCTTTTATAGGCATTTTCAGTCAAAATTGCTTGCTAGAGCACAAAGTAGGCCAAAGGGGGTGACCCCATATTGCAGATGGATGTCAGCTGGGGTGCTACCTGGAAGACTCAAGGATGACTCATTACCCATGACTACAGTGTTCTGCTCTGTTCACCCTCTGTGGATGGGACCTGGAGAAAACGTACACTGATAGTATACTGTAATATGAGTTACATATTGAGCATTTTTCAAAATATGATGTGCACAGTGGAGTTAAAACTGGGTATTTATATTCAATCATTCTGCCATGTTTCAACAAAGTTTATTTTTGAAATTGAATAATTACTGATTTTTCTGTCTTATAAGTGACTTACTCTGTAAGATAGCCTGCTGGTGAAAAGCTTAAAAATCACAAAATATGCAGAGAAGTTGAGTAGAAAAGAGAGTAGAATGTGTATTGAACTAAAAAAGAATAACTTGAAAATTATACAATTCATAAAATAGGTATACAATAAGAGAATGTTTTGATCCAAGGATATTCATCCTAGGGTGCATAAAATTCATGACCATAAAGGAGAATAAGACTAAAGGATTTTTTGCTAGTTAAAAAGCCACATTATCTCTTTCAGTCAGTCCTGTTCTAAGTTGACAGCTAGGGTAGAAAATTGAGTAGTTTTCACTAAATTTAGTTCATTACTCAGATTTTCAGTTAATTCACTGGTTTTGTCATTGCATTTCTACTTCAAGTACTCAATTAAACATCTTGGAACCATATAGGCCGGGGTCATAGCAGTGCATTAGATTATTAAATGAACTTGGGGCAAATTCAGGAAACACTGAATCTGAGCACCTTCTGCGCTTAGTTGCTGGGTGCAGGTGAGGCCTCACTGTGTTGTAGGTTTGTGGTGAGAAAACAAGAGCAGGGGCTTCTCCAACTTGTCCTGGGGAGCTCTGAATTGGGGAGATGAGCTTTGAAGTCTGCAGGTTTCTAAAGAACAGTTGATGTTGCCCCAGTTTCCCCTGCCCTCCAGTGAGACTGAGGAGGAACTGAGTGGCCTGGCTGTCCCCACTGCTTGAGGGGGGAGATGAGTTAGGAATACCATAAGCAAAGAACACTCTGCAAATCTTCCCCAGGGAAGGAACAGCCTGTGGCTTCAAGGTCAGCACCAGCATTACTGACACCTCATTATCTGGCACTGATGTGATGTCAAACAATTGTAAACAGTGAACACTGTTCACATAGGTGGCCAAATAAAGTAGTGTGTCCACACTGCAGGACACTGAGCCACTTCCATGAAGGGAGAACCAGATGTTGACCAGTAACTCAGAGGCATTTCTAGCAAGTACTGTTTTGTGAAAGAAACAAAATGCAGAATATTGAGTAAAAATACTGCATTTTTTAAGAAAATTTTGTATCTCCTATTCCTATGTGAGTCTGTGTGCTTATCAATACCTATACCTCTATGTAGAATTAAATGATAAAACCCTGACAGCTCTGGCTCAGTGGGTTGTGTGTCATCCCACCAAGTGAAAGGTTGGTGATTCAATTCCCAGTCAGGGTACATGCCTGGATTGCAGGTTCAGTCCCTGTTCAGGGTACATGGAAAAGGCAACTGGTGGATGTTTCTCTCTCATATTGGTGTTTCTCTCCCTCTGTTTCTTCCTCCCTTCCCCTCTCTCTAAAAATAACTAAATAAAATCCTTATAATTAAGACAATGAGAGAGAGAATGTGGAAGGAAACCAACCAGATTAAGGTGGATTCCTTGGTGGTGGGAACCTGTCCAGGGGGCCATAGGGTGGAATGAAGAAGAGAATGAAATAATAAAGCCAAAAAGGAAGGGAAAATAAGATGTACTAATTTTTTATAAAAAGGTTAAATGGACATACAAGGTCTGTCTGTAAAAAGTCCAACCGTTGTTAATATTAAGACTGGTTTGCACCCATTGATGTAACCTGGCAGCCAAGGAAATTGGACTGAAATGTGCATGCATGAACAATGACAACTTCACTGTACTAGTCAGTGGGGGTAGTAGATGCCATTGAGTGAGTATGTGTACTGTGTGGCCATTGCATTCAAAATGACTGAGTGAGAGAGCAATGAATCTGCATCAAATTTTGAGTTAAGCTTTAACACTCCACAGAAACTATTTGGATGAATCATAAGGCTGCAGCTATGGGCAGCAGGTGATTGTCAGCTTCATCACAAGAATGCACCCATTCATTCATTATGTCTCATGCAGAGTTGTTTGGAGAAACGTATCACCCAGATTTGGTGCCCTGAGACTTATGGCTTTTCTTAAAACAAATCACCTTTGAAAGAGAAGAGATTTCAGACCATCGATAGGATTCAAGAAAATATGACAGGACAGCTGATGGGGGCTAAGAGAACTGTGTGAGATCCCAAGATGCCTGCTTTGAAAGGGAACTGAGGCATCACTGTCCTATGTACAATGTTTCTTGTATCTTCTTCAATAAATGTCTCTAATATTCATACTACCAGACTGTATACCTTCTGGACAGACTTAATATATTACCTTCTTTTCTCTTGCTAAAACATCCCAATTGATAGTCAATAGAGAGGAAATCAATTCACAGAGGCAAATGAACCATCCACAATCTATATTAGAGTGTTACAGCTTACTCTTATGGGATGCCCTGTAGCAAATTAAGATACTGATATGAAAGTAAATAGATCATTGGTCTGGAAGTTAAGACATGGTTGCTGATTTGCTACATAATTCTGTGCAAGTCAAAAAATGTCCACATACTTCTGACCAAGATGAGGCATAGATAGATACACTTTGCCTCCTTGCACAACTAAAAGAATAACAACTTCAAACTCAAAACCAAAAACCAACCAGAACTGCCAGAAAATTGAACTGTATGGAAGTCCAACAACCAAGGATTAAAAGAAGAAACATTTA